GCGGTTGGCTAATCTGGACGCCCTTAGGCCCCATCCTTGGTGACCTTCAGATGACTTAAAGACAAACGACAAAAAAAAAAAAAAAGTTAGCTCACAAAGCATGAGCTTCATAGCGTTCAGGGCTAATGGTGCATTCTAGAACAACTAGTATTTTCAGGCCTGCGGCTAGGAAAAGTGCAGTGGAACGCCACTCGAGGTTAAAGGTCAAATCACTGGGGCATTGACATGTGACAACTGATGAGGAATGAGAGATTCTTCTCTAAAAAAAAATTTAAAAAATTTTAAAAAATGTTTGTTTTTTTAATAAGTGTGACCAACTCACTTGTGCAGTTATAAAAAAACAAAACAAAAAAAACGTGATATTGTACATTAATAATACCAATGTTTCGTGTTCCTCCTAAAACGTTGCCGTTGCATATCTTTTACATAATCCCCCTGTACAGCAGATGGCGCCCAAGGCTTCCGTTTGTGTGTTCCAGGAAAAGAAGTTTAGCAAAAAAGTCAAAAGGGTTTTTTAAAAATTGTGTTCTGACAGGTCTCTTCAGCAGCTGTGACATCTTTACGTCTTTGTCGAACGTGAATCTGTTTTTTTTTTTTTTTTTAAATCAGGTTTTTCAACATGATCCGACTTTTCACGCACAGACAGAAAAGACCGGAGTGGAGTTCTCTCAGCCACACCCTCTTCACAGCCCAGAGGTTTTTTTTTAACTGAAAGAACATTTGAACTGGATCTCAGACCAGACATTGAAGCGGGCTGTGACCTGAGGTCAAAGGTCATCCAAGAAATTCTCTGATGGAATCACCAGTGAAGAAGAGTTTAAGTTTAGATCTTTATTTATATAAAAAACCATAAAATAAATATTTTTACATCATTCCTCGGAAAGATTTCTGTCCTGTTTACACACACGCTGCCCCACCAGACTTGTTTTGATTTAATAAGTGCAAAAAGTTTTGCATTTGTTGTCATTACTGCCACCTACTGGTTCCATCTTTTACATGATGCCTATTTGGAACCCAATTTGTTATTTACAAAAAAAAAAAAAAAAAAAAAAAACAGCGAGAGCAGTATGTTTGGAAATCAGAAAACCATTTATGTTCCTTCAGAAAATGTATAAGATATTTTTAATGGTGTAATTTAAACACACTGCTGGGAGAATGTTTCATTTTCCTTCACCCCATCCTGTGTCTGATTAGACAAGATTAATCACGATGAAACGATTTAGCCCCAGTTGTCCCTAGTACCACACAGTCTTGTCTGTCTCACCCCTCCTGCCCCTAACCCTCCCCCCCTGTAAACACTTGCATAAGCAAAGTTATGTTGCCAAAAAACAAAAAAAAAAACAAAAAAAAAAACATTGTAATCAGTTGCTGACCTTTTGACCTGGAGCTTCCCCTTGTTGCGGTTGAAGTGGATGCTGTAGACTCTCTGCATGGCGGCTGGTAGGGACGACAGGACATCCGAGTCAGTGGGCAGTCCGAGGGCGGGCAGCTGCGTCAGGCTGCGGCACAGAGGACAGTGGATTGCGCTGGGCTCGGCCGACTTGACGTTGATACGTGCCAGACATTCCAGGCAGAACATGTGCCTGCAGTGAAGCATCTTGGGACAGCGGAAGATGTTGAATTCGCTGACGCAGATGGAGCACTCCAGGTCGGGGCAGGTCTCCACGAAGCACCGAGGGCGGGCCAGGGACGGAGACTGAATGATGAAGACGTGGCAGGAGGCGGGGAGGGCGATTGGGTCCGTGTCAGGGCGAAGTGTGGGGGCAGAGCGGCCGTGGCCTGGAGACTGGACTTGGCTTTCACTGAGCGAAGATGCATCGCTTAAAACGATCAGAGCGCCACATCCTGTTAGCGTGACCGGCCGACAGGGGGCGCTGGGGACTGGGAGGTCGTTGGTGGAGGAATTTGAGCGCGACGAGGCGTCTTCAGAGGGACGGGAGTCCAGGTCTGTTTGACTGAATGGATTCATGGCTGCTTCGGTGGACGGAGAAACGGCGACGGCCGCGCGAGGATCGAACGAAGAAGCTGCGGACGCTGTCATTTAAACCAACTGTAGAAGAAGAAGAAAAAAAAAAAGAATGAAATCAAATCTGGCTGAGACGCCGACAATTTCATCCAACTGTAACACAGAGGTTCCCAAAGAGGGGTGCGCAGTACCTGATTGAAACTGATTGGTTGAAGGCGGAGTCAAATAAATCTGATAATAATGTTGTAAAGGAGGACGTTTTTTTTTTTTTTAAAGACCGCCTTTTTCAAGAATTCTCTTTACAAGACCAAAAAGATACCAAAAAAAAAAAATCAAACATGAAACGAAGATTTCTTAACGGATTGGAGAGGCTAGGACACCTGCCCCA